TAGCTAATCAATTCCAACATGAATTAGATGCACTAAAATTTTACACTTGCACTAACTGTCATCGCCAACAACTAACAGCTTCAAACCAATCACCGATTTGTTCGCGTTGTCGTTCAAATGCACCTAAATTTGCGGCGTTAAATAATATGGATGTGTCATGTGTCCCGAACGAATTAACTGACCTGACGATTGTAGAACAAATGTTGATTGCACGAGTACATCCCGCTATGCGCATTTACAAAGTACAAGCAAATGGTCAGGGTGGCCAGTTTCACTACAAAGGTAACATCATTAATGTTGAGCAAGATATTAATGAAATAGCATCTGTCTTACCCACACTGTCCGAAAACTTCATCAACCAAGCTGTTGTGGACATTGGATCTTCAGAATATGGCTTAGGTTTGTCCTACGTAGCCCTATCAAGAGTTAAGACATTTGAAGGCCTGCTTCTGGATCCACCATTTTCACTAGACCGATTGATGTGAATTAACAGACACGGATCTTGGGCAAAGAAGAAAGATATTCTTATTCTTAACTAAATAAATGAACTATCAGATTAATTTGTCATTCTTTAGAGCTTAAATAATATCGGGCAAACAAACGGTGAATCTGTTGAAAGGGAACATATTGTAGGTTGTTAGCTGCTTTAGCCATTGACAATCTTTAAATAATGTTTCGCTCATTTATGCGTCTAAAGTGTAACGGCAGACCACCCTAGTGTATTTTATTCGCTCATTTCATCACTGACAAAGTTTAATTCCGTCTTCAACGTATCAACGAGTGGACTCCTGTGTCTCGCGGTGTTGTAGTTGTGCACGTGGTTCTCATTCACGTCCGCTGTTTCAGCCCATGGCTAATATTTCTTAATAATGATTCTCTTATTAACGCATTCTCTTAAAATTCAGTTTGTTTTAAAGTATAATTCTCTCAATCAGTGTATTAATAAGTTCTCCTGTTAAAGCAAGCCAAATTTAATCAAGATCCATCAAGTCTCAAATATTGAAAAGTGCCATTATCTATAATATTAAACCGTAACAGGGTTTTTTTATTTCACGATTCTGAATCAACCACTTGACGGATTTTCATGATTTTTGTGTTGAAAGAAAGATAATTTTGAGAACTAGGGAATGTCGAAGCCATAATTTTTGTTTAGGGTCCCAGTTATTTAGAAATTAACTTTTAATTTTTGAAAAGTCTAGCAGCCGGCGCTAAGATTCTAAACTAGCTTTTGGTATAATATAATTTTCTTAACATAACAGCTGTAAACATTCAGCGTTTGTAACACAAATTCAGCTTTTGGATCAAATTAAAAGCCATAGGCCTACTAAGGGTTGACTTATTTATACTATGTGTAATGCTTATCATTGATACGTTCAATCCTTCGACAAGAGGATGACGGATTATTTAAATATACAAAGTAAAATAAATTACTATGTTTAAATTATTTTTTTAAGTAATCTTTGTAATCTTCGGTTTGTTTTAGTGCAATATAATTTGTTTTAACTAACAGCTGGTTAATTATAAAAATACCTTATAGAACTATGAGGTTATTTACTCTGATTTTGTCATTGATTATAGGAAATAAGTAAGATTAGTAGACCACTGAGATAAGTAACACCATCGATGTGAATAAGTCAAGGCTCCCCGTACACGAGTTTAAAAAAAAAGAAATGCAAATTATTTTACTGCTCACATTTTTTGGAAAGGGTAGGAAAATCACAATTTTTACATGTTTTAATTCATCTTGGCAGCTTTTTGTTTACAACCAATGTTTTTGAATGCTTGAACTTTGTTTGGATTAGGCCCGGAAATATTGATGTCATAAAGATGGAGATCAAGAATCCTCGGAATACGATTTTAAATTACCACCACAACCTCAGACGGGTTTTATCCAAAAATATACAGATGAATGACATAGATTGAACACAACGTCATCATTGACCTAGGATACTGCAATTAGACAAACCATTCTTTTATGAAATCTAAAAAGTTGTTTGGCATGTGTTTAGTTGTGGTTACGTTTGGAGGCGCTGAATATTTTATAGTTTAAATAAATGAATATGGGGAATTACGATGTACATTGATTCAATGAGGGTGGTTTAATTATCAAGGATATTAGAACTGATAACGGAATGGATAATAAACATAGGCAATTAATTACGTCACTAGCTTTACTAGCGTGTTTACTTTTTAAATTCCTTCAACATGTGACCAGTTCTTTTGTTCAAATGAATATTATTTTATTTTTGACTCAGCTGTTTACAAAACAAACTAATATGTTGTTGTGTTTACTTTTCTTTGTTTATACTTATTTATTTATCAATTGATGCAGTGAAATTGACATAAAGGATATGTGTGGACGATTCGTTTAATGTTGTCAGGACACCAACGTTATAATTATGTGTATTGTGAATTTTATTGGATGTTTTCGTTTTATTTTAGGGAGTTTCAATTCAGACCTACTGGAAATTGTGTATAGTATGAGTAATTGTATTATGGTGATATTGATTGAAGAGGCAGGTATGCGATGGAAGGTGATATCATTGACTAGGCCTATACACTTCTCATTGATAATTACTCTTTCTACTGTAGGCTGCAATAAAGTTTGTCTTTATACGTGTAAACTAGCTGTTCTGAATTATAGGCCTACACAGTTTTAACTGACTACTCCCGTACGTAGGACGGGCTAACACCTCGTACCGTGTTAATTTCATTATTAATTAAAACATTTAATAATTAATTCAACTGTAAATATAAGGCGCAAGAAGTGCCAAGTTTTTGGTTTTGGTTGTATTTTAACTTTTAATAACGTTTTGATTTGATTTATTTCTATTCTTAATATCACATGAAGAGTGATAAATCATCAAGAGGAAATTTAAGTTTATATGATACATTTTTTTATTCTATTTCTACAACAGCAACATCAAAAAACACCACTCATCTCATCATTAACATCCCTGGACATCTCTACATCAGGAGGCGCCTTCTGCCCCCCAACCAACGAGGTCCTAATTCCCTCTAGCTGTGAGGCCCTCTACAAATCCTGGAGCATCTGCTCCGTCTTTGCATTTCTTCGCCTTCAGCTTCCCTCATAGATCCATCATTTAATAATTGGAAATCAGGTATTCCCACCATCTTTTGTTATATTGCTATTTTATGGTTTTTATTTTATATGTTCAAAAATGCAGTTTGAGAGGGACTAATGTCATTAATAGAACAGATCTGGCAAGTTATTCTGTAGTAGTCGTGCGTTGTGCAGTTATCAAAATTCTCACCTTGCGTCACTTGTCAAATTAAAAGTTAGTCACTGCTCTTTTACCTGAAAGTACGCAAAGTAAGTTACCATTCAACTGCATTAAGAAAAGATGCTCTTTGGCATACATTTTAGAAAACGCAGTCAACTCAAAAACTCTTACTTCTATGATGATCCACAAAACCAATAGCAATATTGATCCAACTTTTGTAAAACCAAAAACAGTAACCAAGAGCTCCAGTTCTGAGACAACTGTAAACAATACCCCTCAACTGCCCAAGATATACAATTTTAGCCAATAATCAGCAACAAGATTTTTCAAAAACATCTTCCAACTTCTGTGCACAAAGACCTCCATCAATCAAACCTCCCTCGTAAAATCAAAAAGAGAAAATCGCTCCACCAGATTTGAGAAAAAAAATCAGGAGAGTAATTGCAATAGATCCTACAGAAACTGTTCCAAACCATAGATATGAATTGAAAGGGCTACAACATAAGAAAAAAATATATGTTTTCACAGACAGCCATGGTGAGGAGCTTGGGAATATTTGAGGTCCATTGCTTCCCCAAAACTTTGAAACCTTTGTTCGTGCAAACTCGGGGGCTACAGTTGACCACAACCTCAACAACGGAAGCCACATGACAGACGATTTCACAAACGATGACACAGTGTTTATTATTGCAGGAGCGAACAACGTATCAAACGTTTCACTGTTCAACAGAGAACCAGCCAAGGAAATATGCAGACAGTTAAATGAATTTGTAACATTAAATAGACAAACAAACATTGTGTATGTAACTGTAACAACACAACTTCATAGGCATCATTTAACATGGAAAAATGTTGTGAACAAAGAAGTATTTAAAATAAAATCATGAGCTGAAACAGTCAAACAACTTGAAATTGGTTGATGCTAGCGATTTTAAGAGACCCTTAAGCATGAACAACACCTAAAAAGTTTGGTAAACAAGTTCTGTGCAGAAGGATTGCTAATGCAGTTCTCAACACTGACTCCAGGGGAACCCGAGTGTCTAAAAGCTTAGTTGTTTCTTTGAAAATTATTGGTGAGGACAAGGGGTCTGTCATAGAACAGTACAGATCCTTCGCCCATTGTGTCTCAGGCGATCTTGAAAGTAACAAACACATTAGTGAAGGTGTGGCAACTGTTTTCAGGGATAAATTTGGGAAACCTACCAGAGCCGACTACTGTGACAGGATGGGCCCTCTGTCTATGGCTTAGTCACAAAACCAAGATTCTTTTTAAACACCAACAATTTCACCAACTACAAGACCACATATGATTCTCCTTTTAGACAACTAACCAAGAATTTTAAATCCCGTAACCTGAGGACGTTAATCTGTTCCCCAATGGGCTGCATTCGTGACTCCATAAAACCTCCGCACTTTGCATCTAACATGTTAAATTTTGTTGAAAAAAATGGTGCTTCTGTAATTATATTCACCACAAACGACACATCACGCAATAGGCTGAGGAATGGAGTTCCTCATGTGGTCTTAGTTCAAAAACTACATCAGTTATTTTTCCCTAATGACTGTACGATGACAACTCTCTGCAATAGCTCTCTACAACAACACTCTTCATACACTGCTAGCAGCTCTGGAACTGATATTTTATTAAAACACATAGTTGAACTTTTTACACTAGTATAAAATAAATTATTTGAAACATGACAAATACATTACTTATTTAAAATTCATATTTTTGTGATAGTTTACTAAATTTACCTCAAAAGCATTGATCAAGCTTGTATGGCGACCATTATTGTCCTTAAACCCATTAGGACTGAACGCTTCATCTATGTGATACTGCAAGAATGATTCAAACTTTTGATCTGAAACAAATTTCAATGCTGTAAGAAATCAACTACTGAGCACAAAGTTTCAGTGGAAATTCTCATTTTCTTAATTACTTCAAGCACATGTATGCATATCTTAGATATTTGCTTACACTACCAAAACCCCCTTGGTAACAAAATCTTTTTTTTATATTTTCATCTGTTGCTCCTATTTGTTCTAAAAAGCATTTGGTTCAACCATTTCTTTAGTCATTCTGTCTTCTCAATATCTACTCGTGTCGTGTTGTAGTTTTTGGCCAGTTGTATATTATTTCATTCTTCCATTCATTCATGTTTTATGTTTCCGGAAAACATTTGCCGAAAATCATAACTTCACTGATGTACATTTAAATTGTAACCTTTGATGATATTATTATCTTGAAAACAGTAGCCATTTTGATGACAATTGGATCAACGAGGACAGGAAAACTAAACCATATTAATGGCTATGTCCACATTCGTGCCTTCTGAACCTAAACAAGTGATTTCCAAGTTTGTCTCAACATTTCAAGTTATACCCTTTATTTATGTACACCAATCTCAACAAATAACTTATTCAGCTGGTTGTCAGTAAGGCAGAAGCTAGTCAGGTTTGCAAGAGTTTAATCTATATTTATAAAAGAGGAAGTTTGTATATATATATTTGAACGTTATGGACCCTGGAACCGCTGGACAGATTGTAATGAAACTTTCAGGCATTATTAAGCATTATTCAAGGATGGTTTGTGTGAAGTTTGGTGCAGATCCGTCAAAACTCTGCCCCAGTGGCTCTGGAATTTCCCATGTTAACCTTATGAGGACTTATATTTAAATGGAATTAAAGGATCTTATCAGCTGGTTCAACTAAACAATTTGATTCTGTGATGTTCAATAACATTAAAAAGTTAATAGATTCACCAACATGGTGCAGCACTATTATTTGCAAGTGAGCGCAGAGAACGAGCTCCAACCTAAAGGTGAGTAAGCGTAGCAAACAAACTTCAACCAGGACGTGATTGAGCGATGTGAATTAGCTTATCTTGAAAATGAATGAGCATTTGAAATAAAACCACATTAGGATAGGACGACGTCTGTTGGGCCAGCTAGTTTTTCCATAAATGACATCAGGGTTTTAAATGTACATTTTTAAATTTTCTCTGCAACCTTTAAACTTAAAATGTTTTAATGTACAAAGTTAACATTTTGTTAATGTTGTATATTAGTTTTATTAAATATTTTATTAAGTGTTATTATTCATTGTGAAAGAAAATTGATATGCTACCGCCACGTAAAAATTGCCTTCTTTAATTATATTTCTGGGTTCTCCATTGTCATCTGCTATTGGAGTCTATTAAACGGGTCTATTGGATTAACGTTGACGGAGGAAAGGGTTTTGATATAGAGATTGTGCGCAAGGATGGAGGGAGTTAGGAAGTGGTCCGATGTTTCCTATGTTGTAGGCCGACTGGTGCTGTTCATCAGTCTCATTTGCCCAAAGTTATGAGAATTTAGCTTGTGGTCTGTTGTTTGATTGTACAAGAGATTATCAAACTATGATGGAGGACACCTCTATATGACTATCAAGGACTACGGTCAGCCCTGAAAGTCTTCAACACACATATCTGCAAGCAGTTTCCTGAAATTTAAACACTGCCACAATGAAAACTGATGAACACCCGCAGCTAGCCCCTTTGTGCAAATATGTCTGGGCTCAAACTCCCCAAGCCACTAACATACTTGGGAATAACGAATAGAAATTCTAACGAATAGCGCTATTCCTTAGTTTTTTCGGCTAACTTCTATTTTATTCGTTAGTTTTTAAAAAGTGCTGGAAATAACTTCTACTCAGTTATTTTTATAGCTAACGAATATATAATATATTTGTTTTTTTTAAATCGTTAGTTTTTTGATCAGGGGAAAGTATTTCAAATACGGGTTATTTATTAGACGTGTTCAGTGAGGGTTGCGTGCGTACGTGAGGGGTCAGCGCCCTTGTTGACAAACAACGCGGGGAAAGAGAAAGTCAAAGTCCAGTCGCTTTGGTATGCAGCGGACAGGGGGGGGCGGGACAATGACGGCCAATAACGATACCCCAAGCACCGAAGGGTGGGAAGGGGGGATGTTTGTTTGGTGATTGATATGTAATCTCAAGTGTCAAAACATTGTCTTCACTTCAGTCGATGTTTATTATCTGACAGTGACAGGTTTTAATTAATTTGTTTCAGCCCAAGTGTTTCTTAGTTATATTGCTGTTATATATATTTTAGTGATAGATAAATATTTTTAATACATAAGTTATTAAGGTGAACAGTTTTGTTAAGTACAGTAGATTAAAAATATTTGTTTGTAATGGCGGGCGAGTATGATATACAGTGGCCAAACTTAAGAGACATATTTCAACAGGTTGGAGAAAATGAAAAGGGTGGAATCGCGGTAAAATGTTTATTGTGTTTACCAAAAACAAAAATAATAAAAGCATCTGTCACAAGTGCTTCGAATTTGAGAGCGCACTTTTTAACTCGTTTTTAACTTGAAGTGGAATATATATTTTTTTAATGAATATAAATTTTATTTTTAAGTACAGTTATAGTATATTTCTCAATAGTGTTTTCCATGGTCTTTTAAAACCTATCTCGCCATGAAATGGGTCACTTTTAAAACTAGTGTAAACGATACTTTTATCACACTGGGAAAACTACTTCATCAGACTTAAAAAAATTATCTGATATTTCGTAATCCATTCATTTTTCTAAGCTAAACACAATACGGCTGAACAATTAATTTTATTGTAACATTCAGCTAATTGAACATCAACAAACTGTGTTTTGAGCTAACCGGGAACTTCAGTTGTAACTTATGTTTGTGTATCGAAAGTAATGTTTATGTCAGGAAAGGTCAGATGATCACTATCTGTTTTTGGCGTATGGAAATTGACGGTTTTTGAAGATGTATGGAAATGGGTTATTTTTAAAAACAGAGTGATGACAAGTTTTTTGTATCACCTTTATTCATTTTATTAGTAAAAGTATTTATTAATCTTAAACTTAACTCTAAAGCCAAAGCCTAGAAAACCGTACCGTCAAATAACATGTTGCAATTGTGGAATTTTTGTTTAAATTTACTAACAAGTCAGATATGATCAATCATTTTATGCTGCAATTAACTATATTTTGCTTCCATTTTAGGGTGTAAATAATACGAAAGTTGAAAACTAACTTTATTTTCTATCAGTTAGTTTTTCAACTAACTATAACTTCTATTAGTTTCAGTTCTTTTTAAACTAACTAACTAGTAACTTCTATCAGTTACTTTTTACAGGACTAACTTCTAACTAGTTGGAAATTTGACTAACTTTCCCAACTATGCCACTAATGCACTTTTTCTATGGCAAATCACTGTTCTGCATACACATTTGTCAACTGGCAACAGTAATCACCACGGATTTGACCCCCTTCCTAAAGAAACTAGAGACAGAATGTGATTTATACTTGGCGGGAGCGTCAATTTTCTTTCACAAGGCTTGACCAGTAGTTACACAGCTAGAATAGTACGATAGTAAATAAATTAGGGAGCACATTTTTGTCTCAGATATGAGCTAGCTCTAGGTTTGGAATGAGAGCTTGATGGAGACCTAAACTTACAAACAACCCTGGTACATATAAATTTGAACGAATGGTGTTTTATGACTCTGAGGACATCAAAATGAAAATGAAAATCAGTTCCAAGTCTAGGTCTTATCATGCCTACAATAATAGCTTCTACCCTATAAGGGCATCCTCTAAAAACACTTATAATGGCAAGTTGCATCGCACATAAATCCAAGCATGGTGGATTTGATTGCGCTAAAGAATCAACTTCCTGGCGATGTGGATGTGATTTGGGCATTCTATTGTGCATTACTTGTGTTAACCATGAGTGTGGACATAGCTATTGACTCATTTAGCACAGAATTAGATTACCAAGGGTCTATCAAGTGTCAGATTACCGAGTGCCAACTGGATTTAGTTTCCATATTTCATTCCGCTCTATCCAACAAAACTATAAATTGAAGGTTGTTTTATAAGGTAAGTATTTTTTGTGACAGTGGTTTTGTAAACAAAGGTTGGTTACATGTAAGAAAACATCTGTATGCAGATTTAGCAAACAAATTAAATACTGTGTCTTGTATAGATCTAAGACATTGAATAGTTATTTTAAAGCCTCGTTCACACGGGGCAAGTTTACAAGCTGCTTGCCAGCGTGTAAGAAGCCGGCGAGTGTATTTGTATTTGTTCACACGGAGCTTGTCCACTCACCAACTCGCCAATGTGAAGAGAGACGCCGGCGAGTGCGCTTGTAGCCGTTCACAAAATGCTTTTTCACTCGCTCAGTAGCTGGCTTGGACCAAATCCTCCGACATCTTTGATAATCATGCGCACAAGCACAATCAACTGTGTTCACACTGGGCTACTTTACACGCCTACTCACTCAAAAGCTGGCGAGTTGGCATGTAAAGTAGCCGCAGAGTCAACTTTTTCCAGAGGTTTTTTACAAGGAGCTTTTGAGCAAGTACGTCGTTCACACAGCTATTTTACTAGCTGCGTGTAAAAAAGCCGGCGTGTAGCTTGCCCTGTGTGAACGGGGCTTTAATGATCTTTTAGCGAATTGCCCATTCAGTGAATAAGCTATTACCGTAGGTCGGTAAGACCAGGACACAGGACCGATTAATTTTTTTTATTTTCAGGTCCCCAGAGGCCAAAAAACATCATCCGTTAAAATTAATATAGGCTATATATATTAAATTATAGTAGTAAATAAAGCATAACTGAGCACCCTGAAATTTTATTTTTTTGTTGTGAATTTCCCATAGCCTATAGGGAATAAGCTATTACCGTAGTACTCATGGTAAGACCTGGACCCAGGACCGATTTACTTTTTTGTTTTGAGGTCTCTAGAGACCGAAAATACCATCCGTTCAAATTCAAATATATATATATATATATATGTGTCTGTTAGCACAGTAACTCGAGCAAAAGTTA